AAAATAAATGGCACATGCCAAGTTATTTTTTTTTTTTACTGAAATGGTATATATGATTTTCTAAAAATGATAAAATATCATGATTTTCAAATGTTAGACTAATTCCACCTTCCTGAGATAAACAGCACTTGGTCATCACATATTATACCATTTACATATTGAAGAATTCAATTTGCTAGAGTCTTTGCATCTATATTTATGAGGGATGTTGCTCTGTAGGGGTTTTTCTTCTTTGTAAGTGCTTGGTTTTGGTATCACGGCAATATGGCTCATAGGAGTTGGTAAGTAGTCTCTCCTCAATGTTCTGGAATTGTTAAATAGCAGCATGTTTTTATTAAAAGTTGTATTAGAATATACTAGCAATATCATCAGGACTGTAGTTTCATTTATGGGAAGATTTTTCAACACAAATTTCTTTAGAACATAAAAGCTAGTCAATCTACTTCTTGAATGAGCAGATAATTTGTGTTTTTCAAGGAATTAAGTTCATCTAAATTGTTAGATTTATAGGCATAACATTTTTCAAAACATCAGCATTTAAATATCATGAGTGCATGATGACATTATCTCTTTTGTTCATATTATAGGTAATTTGTATCTTCTTTTTCTTTCCCTGATTAGTCTGTCTAGAGGCTTAAATTTTTTTATTGATCTTCTCAAAGAATAGGCTTTTGGCTTCACTAATTTTCTATGTCACTGATTTCTGCTTTAATCCTTCTTAATCTTTATTTTTCTTACTAGGGTTAACTTGCTTTTCTCTTATATATTCTTAAGGTGAAAGCTAAAAATCAATTCTTTGAAACCTTTTTTATTATCAAGTAAAGGTTTCTAGTGCTATAAAGTCTGCCTTAGTACTGTTTTAGTACTATCCTATAAATTCTGATGTTGTGTTTTCATTTTAATTCAATAATTCAATGAAAACTAAATTAAATTTGTGTTCTCTTTTGATTTTTTCTTAGAACCATGGGTTATTTTAAAGTATGTTATTTAGTTTCTAAAGAGTGAGAAATTCTCCAAAGACCTTTCAGGTACTGATTTCTAACTTCCATTTTGATCATAGGACATATTTTTTTATTTCATGCACTTCTTTCAATTTAATTAGAATAGTTTAATGGCCATAATAAGGTCAATCTTGGTAACTATTCTGTGCAATCCTAATAAGAATGAATATTCTGTTCTTGCTTGGCATATCATCTTATAACATTAATTAGGTCAAGTTCATTGACCTGTTTGAGTTTAGATTGTTGATTTTTTTTGCCTATTTGTTCTTTTAGGTTTTGAAAGAAGATATTAAAATTTCCAATTATAATTGTGTATATAGCTATAAGTGTATAGTTTTATTTACCTGGTTTTGTTTTTTTCATGTATTTTGAAGCTTTGCGTGTTTGTGTGTGTGTATGTGTGTATGAGAGAGAGAGAGAGAGAGAGAGAGAGAGAGAGAGAGAAAGAGAGAGAGTATATGTGTGTTTATAATATCCTTTTAATTAACTGGTCTGTTTACCAATATGAGGTAACATTCTTTGCTCCTCCTATTATATGTGCTGAGATCTATTTTGATCTGAGTAAAATCACTCCAACTTTCTCCTGGTTATGAATAGTATGAGCGTGACATCTCTTCAATTCTTTCAACTAATTTTCTCCTATTTGAAGTGTGTTTCTTGCAGATAGTTTAGCCTTGGGTCTATATTTACGATCAACTTGCCAATCTGTGCCTTAAGTTACATTGTTACATGTAATTAAGTTATATTTAATATAATTATCAATATGGTTAAGTATGTCTTTCAAGCTTGCTTTGTTTTCTATTTGCCTGATGAGCATTTTGTTCTCTTTCCTTTCCACTCTTTCTTCCTTCTAGTGATAATGCTTGGCATTCCATTTTATCTCCTTTGATTTATTACCTATAACTTTACTTTAGGGGTTTCAGTACATATCTTTAATATATCATAGAATCCCTTCAAAGATACTCTAATACTCATTAACTCAAGCTAAGGTCTAGGGCCAACATGGTATTCATAATTTGATAAATACTAAGGGTCTATGTGGAAAGCTCTATGCTAAGACTTGCGAGAGACATAAAATAGCATCAAACAGATTAAAACTACTATGACATGTAGGGAAAACTAAAAGCTCCTAAAAAAGGAAACATCACATACTTTCTACCTCTCATAGTTCAAGATCCATAGAGATTTAAATTTGACCAAATCAAAACTGCTCTTTTTGAAGCTACTGGTTTCTGACAGTATTTTTAAAAACAAATTACTGATAATCTTTTAGATTGCAATTATATTCTTTTTCAGTAGGTCCATTTCACTGCCCAACTCAAATACTGATAGACACATTCTGGTAAGTAGAGTCTGAGAGAAAGCAATCAGAGAAACAGAGGAGAGAGTGGGAAGGATAAAGAAACAAGAAAACAGGCTTAACTGAAATAATTTAAATAGCAAAAAAAGAAAATGGATAAGAAGGAAAAAAATCTACAGCATAAAAAGAATTTAAAACTTCCTAGGGAAACCCTTTTCCTGTAAAGGACCAACAGCAAATATTTTAGACTTTGGGGGCCATATGACTTCTTGTCAGTAGGCAGCTCAGGAGCAGTAGCTGAAAGAAACCATAGGCAAGTAAATGAATAGGTTTGGTTGTGTTTACAGAACCTGCTAGCAAGTCAGATTTGGTGCAGTGACACAGTTTGTTAACCCCTTGCTCTGAAGAAAGAATTCAAAGGGATCACTGCTTAATAAATTACTGTTAATCTGGAATGGAAAATAATAATAAAAAAGCTCTTTTTTGCTGACAATAAGAACTGAATTGTGCTGATTGAGAAAGTAGTTTCTAAATAAGAATTTATACTGCAATGGAATGAGTTCTAGAAATTAAACTTTAACTTCTTCCCTGAGTAAAGTAATTCTTACAAACACAAAGAAGTGTCCATTTGACTTCTGTGAGGGTGAGAAATGAGGATATAATTACAGGACACTTTGAGTCATTAAAATGTGCTGAATAGTAATGATAGTCAAAGGCATCCGGCGAAAGAAAGAAGTAAATAATACAGATCTTGCCTCCCCACAATGGGTCAGATTCTATTTGTTCAAACTAGTACTGTGTCAATGAAAGAATCATTAAGAGAATATACTGAAAAAGATGTATTTGTTCTTATCACCACCTTCTCCAAAGATGAGTGATAGACTTCTAACTTCCTTAACAATAATGAATTAATTACTCATAAGTCAGCCACAATTTCCTAACAATATGCATCACAAAACAAAATGTTCTATTAGGTGATCCAATATTTTAGTATTTCCATTTTTCTTTCTGAGCTCTAAAGGAGACTATATCATGCAGCAATCTAGTTTTTGAGGAGTGAGTTATGCTCCCATTATCCAATTTATTTAGTTATTCATTCATTTACTATCCTATCTCCATTGGTCATCAGCTGTTTTTCTTTATCCACGCTCAGACACCTTGACCACTAAAACCACAATCTTTCAGACATTCTTGGTTTTAAAGTCCTTGTGTAGCAGGCAAGTGTTACTGTCCCAACACACTCAGCCTTATCATTCACCATCCCCTACACAGCAATGTCTTTGTAATGTATTTGTAATGCTCTGCCTGAGGGCTTTCTCTGATCACAAAAACTTGTCAGGCCAAATTCCAAATTCCAAAGGTTAACTTCCACCGCACCAGAAAGAGCCTTAATAAAACAATTTCAATGGAAAATTATGGATAATATCCCAAACTCCTTGCCCATTATGGGCAGTAACTGTCACTCCTGCCTCCCCTAAATCCCAATAAGGTAGAGAAAGAATTACCAGAAGAACTTGCTCTTGAATGTCCACATTACATTCTTTCTCTTAAAGGATCATTCCCCATGCCCTACCAAAATTGCCTGAAAGTGCCTTCCAAAGAAACCCTCAGCATGTAAATCTTTGTGTGCTTAAGGTAGACAGGATTCTATGGCAGTCCTCTAAATTTAAAATTCTTAAGTTCCTGAGATTTCCCACTCAGATGTGTTCATAATTCTCCAGACATGAAAGTACCATTGTTTTGTCCAAAGATAGAAGTACATTTTTCACTTATGCTACTTTTCAAAAAAAGGAAAAAAAAAAGACACAGTCATAATTTCATCAGTCTCTATTCTCAAGACACAGCAATTTATTTGGCAATGACTTTAGACACTAAAGTGACTCCCTGTTAGCTCACCTGTTAGACCTAAATGACCAGAATCCACTATCCTATAAATATAATTTAATATATTCTTCCACAAATGCATGACTTCATGATTGTTCACCCAAAAAAATGTACTGACCACTTCTAGATAACAGAAATAGAATAAATCAGAATTCTCTTTATATTTTTCAATTCAAACAGTGGCATGTGGAATAGAAAAATAATCATCCCTTGAAAATTTCTCATTCTCCTCTTTCAGAATGAGAAATTAAAGGTTTATAAACATTATATTTAACACTTCTAAGAGTCTAATACTTAAAACAAGGAAGCCCACAGAACTGAGCCAAATAGTAGTAACGGAATTATAGTCCATGGGTACATCAAACTTTCATCTGTATTTTTACCTTCTTGGAAAACAACCTCATCCTTCAACCTAAAATAAGATGTTGGGAGACTTCATTAACCTTCTCTACTCTCTTCTTAACTCCCACTACCAGTTAGCTCCATCAACACACACTCGCTATAACATTCTAAAATCATCTCTTATTCATTTCTATTGCTTTTTTTATGACAGTAACATCCTATCTAAAGTCCCTGCTTTATTTCACTTTATTCAGAAAATCTGATAACCTGACTCCCTCTGCAAACTTAAGATTGTTCAAACCAATAATAGCTCAAGTTCTGAACATCACTTTCAGCATTAATATAGAACATATGGATATTTACATTACATTTAGACAACTCGTTGTTGCCTAAACATTTCATGTATTTTTATTTGTTTTGGAATGAAAATTATATGAAGATATGTTTACCTAAAGATCAAACAAAATGTTTACCTGTCTGTAGCTATGTCACTGGCAATTTGGTGCTTCAATCCTGACCCATTTTTAATAGAATCCTGTCTTGTGAGCCCATGAGATCGACTTTTCTCCACTGCAGGTACAGTTAAGTCACCTGAGGGTCCTTGGAACTGGGCCTGTTCATGTAGTTTTGCTTTCTTCTCCTGAGGGGCCTCCTCATTTCGCAGTCCTCGAAGAACCTTTTGATCAGGTTGCTGTGGTGTATTAGATCCACTATTATAAAACCAGGCTCCTGATTTAGTGAGGATTTCTTGTTGTTTTCGGCACAAATTACATACCCACATAACCTGCATGTGAATACATAGAGAACAGAAATTAGTATTTCCAAAAACTGAAACAAAAAGGGAGACAACTCAGACAACAAAAAAATTATATGGTTATCCTTTCAGATGTTAAAACATAAAACCCAGCTAATGGCTACCATTAATTAAATCACATAGCCTTTCATTTCATTTTGTTAGAGTAATTATAATGAGATAAACAATGTTAACAAGCAGTAGAAATATCAAACTAAAGAGTCAGATGACTACTTGTTTATTTTTTAATTGTTGTTTAAATTATGCTGTAGCATAAAGAAAAGTCATTTGAAACTAAACAGACTTGGGTTTACATACTAACTCCAAGATTAGAAACTTTGCAGCCTTCAGCGAAGAACTGAACCATCATATCTTTCACACTTAGTTTAATTAGCTAAAATAGGGAAATGCTGTGATAATTTGTTTTCCTATATTGTTCTGAGGAATAAAGATGAGAAATAACTTAGAGTAACTGTCTAGCAAAGTGCCTGGTATATGTCAGATTTCTGGTAGATAACCTAACAGTAGGTTAATCTTTTATCACTAACTGTAAACTTATAGATGGAACTTTCATTTCTTTTAAGTAGCTCTTAGTAGCTAAAATTAAGTTAGGAGCATTGATTCACCATAAAGTCTATTAATTGCTCATAATTTATAGTAGACACATTTTTATTACAGTAAAAAGTGCATAATATTTACCATTTCTAAATGTAAGGTCATTAGTTTAAGAATATTCACACTGTGGGGCCTCCCTGGTGGTAAGGGGTTGAGTCTCAGCACTAAGAAGCTATAGGCAGCCAATGCAGCATGAGTTAAATCCCCAGCAAGGGAGTTGACCGGCAGGGCGCTATCCTCTGCTGCCCTCAGCAGTGTAGTTCAGTGGACCTGCCTGTTCTGCTCCCCATTCTGTCTTCGATGAATCCTCTCAGCCCCCCCACCCCTGGCTACACATCTCTGGTCTACACCAGCTCTTGAATGCAAAAATCAACCTTTAAAAATGAAATATTCACATTGTTGTGATGCATTTTCAAAGCATACTCATCTTGTAAAACTCTACACCCATTAAACAAGTGCCCTCTGCTGCTCCCCCTTACTCCCTAGGGACCACTATTTTACATGTTATTTTTAATACATGTTTTTCAGAGTGTAGGAATTTAAGAATATTGTAAATACTATCTGTGCCACCAGAAAATCTTCACCCTTTTGAAAAATCCTATTCAGAAAAAATACACTCGTGAAATAAAAAATGGATTCACATTCCAAACGTTTTCTGACGCTTAAATCAAGTACTGAATCTTATACAGCTCTCCAAACTGCTGAACACTTCTTTATAATTTAAGTAAAATAACATAAGGCCACTATCCCAGTTCATATTGTGTGTGCAGTCCATACCATAAAACATTGTACTTGATAATTTATTACTTTGTTCTTGAATTGCATATACATTGCTTTTCCTCCAACTCATTAGAGGTAAAGTCTATAGCTTGTATTTGACAAGAAACCCCTATAAATCATAACAATCAAACATAGCTATTTGCTAACTTAAATTCTTTTTAAGTTCCTTCCAGCAAAAATATAGTAACAAATTTATATTACTACACTAAGATTTATGCTTCACTGGTTTCCAAAAGAATTAGCCAACAATAAAATTATATGTGCCTGTTATATTTTCATAATTAAATATTTTGAAATGAAAATACCGGTTATCTGCCTCAAGTCAAAATTTCAGCCAAAATCTATAGCTTTTTGATGCCATCTTGTGATAAATGTAGGTACTGCAGATATCTTGATAAATTGAAGGCATGTGAAATACAGAAACACAAGAATGTTAAAATATAATAGGTCTGAAATTCAAACCTTGCTTTTTATATTAAACAAATTGCAAATAATTTATAGTGACAATACATGTGATATGAATTTAACTAAGGTCACACACAGAGTTTTGAGGAATAACATCCTCTTTATGTGCATGAAATTGACAGTGAGACAGTAATGGAAATAATCTAATCACTATCACCTGCAGAAATAACCAACTGCAGCCTCAATATTTGCCACAAAGTTAAACAGATTACTTGACCTCTTTTAGAGATTCTCAAAGACTATCCTTGGGACAACAGCATCAGGAGCACCTGAGAAATTGTTAAAAGTGCAAATTTCGCGGCCCTCCCTGGTGGCGCAGTGGGTTAAAGCACTGCACAAAGAAGCTTAAGCCACTTTCGCATGAGTTCAATTCCCGCCTGCCCCAGAGGTGACCCACATGGCGCAGCAGATCTCTCCTGACCCACCCTCCTCAGCAATGTACTTCGTCGATCTGCCTGTTCTGCTCCCCACTCTGTCCATGGTGGATCCTCTCACCCTCCGCATCTCTGGCCTGTACCCCAGTTCTATATAAATAAATCTTTTAAAAAAAAAAAAAGTGCAAATTTCAGTCCCCATCCTGGGCTACTCAGTCAGTAAGTAGTCATTTTCAAGTAAGACCCAGAAGTCTGTTTTGTTCTTTTGTCTTTGTTGTTTTTGCCAAATCCTACAAGTGTGATACCTGATCAAGTTAGAAGACCAAGGGCCTACATAGAGATTCCCAACTGCCCTGCAACCATCCCAGGCTAGATAGGTTCATCATCAGTTCAGGCAGCTTAAAAGAGAAAACCGGAGCCCTAGTTATCATCGCTGCGGGTCGAGGAAACCTGCAGGTCGGGGAGACCGACTTCGCAAGGGCAAGTGGTGCGGCGTGGAGCTGGACGAGCCGCTCGGGAAGAACGACTGGGCGGTGGCCGGGACCAGGTACTTCCAGTGCCAGCCCAACTACGGCCTGTTCGCGTCTGTGCACAAGGTCACCAGGATCGGCTTCCGGCCAAGGCCGCCGTGCGCCGCGCAATGGCCGCCAGGCCCGCCGGCCTGAAGCGCAGCCCGTCCGTCTCCTCGCTCAGCTCCGTGAGCCCCGCGGCCTCCTCCGTGAGCAGCAAGCCCAGCCGCACAGGCCTCCTGACCGAAACCTCCTCCCGCTACGCCCGGAAGATCTCTGTCACCACGGCCCTGCAGGAGGTCCTGAAGGAGAAGCAGTAGCACATGGAGCAGCTGCTGGCCGAGCGGGACCTGGAGAGGGCGGAGGTGGCCAGGGCCACGAGCCACGTGGGGGAGGTGGAGCAGGAGCTAGCGCTGGCCCGGGACAGACACGACCAGCACGTTCTGGAGCTGGAGGCCAAGATGGACTAGCTGCGGGCGATGGTGGAGGCTGCCGTCCGGGAGAAGGTGGAGCTGCTCAACCAGCTCGAGGAGAAGAGGAAGGTTGAGGACCTGCAGTTCCAGGTCGAGGAAGAATCCATCACTAAAGGTGACCTTGAGGTGGTTACGGTGTCAGAGGAGTCCGGATCATGGAGCTAGAGAAGGACCTGGCACTGCGCGCGCAGGAGGTGGCCGAGCCCTGCCGCAGGCTGGAAACCAGCAGCCCCGTGGCGGGTGCCGACACGTCGCGGTCCCTCCTGCAAGAGCCGAGCTCCCTGCAAGAGGAGCTGGACACTGCCCGTGCTGACCACCGGTGGGAGCTGGCGTCTCAGCGGGAGGGGCTGGGCACCTGGGAACTGCAGGCCCTGCACGGCCACCGAGAAGCTGTCCAAGGAGAACGAGTCGCTGAGGAGCAAGCTGGGCCACGCCGACAAGGACAGCGCGGACGTGATCGCCCTGTGGAAGTCCCGGGTGCAGTCGGCCATCGCGTCCCAGCAGCAGGCGATGGAGGAGCTGAAGGCGTTCTTCAGCCGGGGCGGCGGGGCAGGCGCCGCCGAGCCCCAGACGCAGGTGGACAGGCTGAGGCTGGACCACCAGCGCGAGCTCGAAGCCCTGCGCGGCCGGCAGGAGTCGAGCGGGCCGAGGACACCCAGCAATCAGCGCACCGCGGCAGCCATGGTGAGGAGCGCCCCTACTGCGACATCTGAGAGGTGTTCGGGCACTGGGCCGGCGCCTGCGAGGGCGACCGGATCTTCTGAGCGCCTGCGGCCTCCAGGCCTCCAGGCTGAGAGGCCGTGGCGTCCCCACCGCGCAGCCCCTTCCTCAGCCTGGACAAAGGCGGCGCCAGGTGTCCCCCAGCCCGCGGCCTCTGCCATCTTATTTAAGTTCCTTCCCGTTGTGCGGTTCCTCCTCACATTTGCACTAAAGTACTTCCAGGCTGCATTTGTATATTTAGGTTTTTGGGTTGAGCTTTGACACTGGAATGATTCGGGAAAAATTAAAAAAAAAAAAAACAAGCCAGCAGGGAGACAGCTCCTCGGGCCCCTTGTGTGTCTCTATCCGCTCCTTGCTCCTTCCTCTCGTATACTGCCGCAGTGCGCTGCAGGCCCATCCTCCTTGACCTTGTATACGTCTTCATAGGCTCCGCCTCTCGGCTCAGGTGTGCCCACTCATGCTTGCCCACACCATAGCCCAGGTGTCCCCATCAGGCCTGCGCACTCTGAGCCCATGCCCCAGCACCTCCTCATCTCGAGGCCTCAGGTGATAGCCACAAAGACCAGTGGCGCAAAAGCCTGCGCAATCTTCCTTTAACCACATGTTGAACGGGTTTTAAGTGTGCTCCTAGTGTGTCTGGATAGAACAAAGGAGACCATGTGCAACTGTGCTGATTCATCTCAGTGTAAACTATTCACTGGACAAATAGTATCATTTCCATATAGTTCAAAATGAGAAACAAACTTAGAGATTATGGGCTGTTTTCTTCACTAGTTAACAAGCAGAAGATATTATAAATGAGTATCCTCATAGCCTAAAACCCAATTCACCTCACTTTTTTCTTTTACTACTCTCTCCCATTGTTGATTGAGAGTTTATTAATCTTTAAATCTCAAAAACCTTTATCTGCTCACAACAAGTAATGCATCGACATGTCCCTGAGATCCTTCAGAAACACAGCAACTTACTGGGGTAAACTTATAATGCTGATTGGTCTTGCAACACATATGCAAATTCATATTATGAGATAACTTTGCAGTACTTATTAGCTATGA